ACCTGTGGTAAAATGAAGAGGAAGCCGAAGCTGAGCTACACCATCTGATATGGACTTAGATCCATACGATTGCTGCCTTACAAATATATCACAAGATTTCACACTCATGATGATATCAAATGACGAACAGGAGAATTTTGAAGGCCTTTAAAGGGCAACTGAGCTTTTATGACAAACTTTGTCAAGACATCCAACCGTGCAGCACGCAAAGCCTGCAAAAATAGCTTGGAGCTATGATGGGTCGCCAGCGACTTGCCCGGCACTTGCTCTCTCTCTCTCTCAATCTCTCTCTCTCTCTCTCTCCCTCTTGTTTATAATCTTCATCAGTTCCAGTTTGGTTGTCCATTCAATTATCTTTCATTTGGTACCAAATTTGATCTTACAAACCCAACAATAATATTTTTAATATTTTTTAATCCCAACCTCTCACTTCTGGTAGCCCGGTCCCAAAAGCCATTTCGAAGAAGAAAATCAACGCCCCCAATAATTTCAGTTATTTCATTAAAATGACTAGATTATTAAAAAAAACAAAAAAAAAGGAGCTACACAACATAATAGTGACGAAAAAATTCCCAACAAAAATTACTACTTACTCAAATGGCTCCCTAAATACGACAGCGACAAGGAACTGGACGAATACATTGTAAACTTCGAACACATTGCCAGACAAAACGGGGTACCAAAACAGGAATGGATTACGGAATTACAGGTGAGGTTGACGGGGGATCTACAGTCATTTCTAATGACTGCGGACATAAGGAAAAGATCAGACGATAACGAGACAGTAAAACTGAGATGCACAATTGTAAACACACATACACTCATAAACAAAAGGAGCGACGTAATAAAATCTCATAAGACTTCATTGTATTTCATTTTAGGAAAAACGTATTTTAAAAAGTCTTATGTTTTATTTTATACTTTTTTTTTGTCAAAGCGTATAAAGACACAACTCAATTGGAGATCAGCAAGAAGTTAAAAATGGAGATTCAAGATTTCAGCCGCAGATGTCACTCAGGTGTCAGTGGAGGTCACTGCTTACCTTCTGATCATGGAGGGTTCTATTGTCACAGGGATTGAGTAAACTAAATTTCAATATCATTGAACGAATGGGTCAGGTCGAAAATTTAGTTACTTTACAAATTACAACCTCTGTATATTCAAAATGATTATTTTTATCATGAAAGACCTGATTAACTCATTACAGGCCATAAAGTGAAACATAAAATAGGGATCCAAATTTTTTTTTTAAAAGTCATTAGCAAGTCCTTATACTTTATTGATATGAAGTCACATTCTTAAAATATGCAACACAAGGAAAATTGCCATCTCAAATTAAATATGAAAGAAATCATTGTTATCTAAATATCGCAAAGTTTTTCATACTGGACAAAGAGTTTTATACATATGAAAAATGAAAGAAACCATTTTTAGGTTCAAAATTATTTTATTTGTTAAAAGTTGGGGAATAAAAAACCAAAAATAACCGGACCATGATAGTTGTATGCACATTTTTGTTCTGGTCTAAAATCTTAGTCAACGGTATTTGCAGATCTACTTCAAGTACAATTGCAAAAAAATATGTGCAGTAATTTTTAACATGTTATAAAAGAATGTCCCCCATGTACAATGACGTCATTAATTTTAAAAATGAATAAATAAATAAAAAGCAACTTCACTTTTTTTTATTATATTTATTGAGATAATGTTGCTCTGTTAATTGAATAGATTTTATGAAAAAAATCAATTTACAAAATTTTCACAATTTAAGTATTTTGGTGTTGATTTTGTGCGCTCTTTCATATCAATGTGGCAATCCAGCAAGGGGACAATACTGCTGATCTAATTTTAACAAGGTAACCTTTATTTACATTCTCCCCTCAGGGGCCCCATGCATTTATTATGGACAATTTTTAACCACCCCCAATCTCTTCTAAAGCTATATTATATTTCCATAGACCATTCCCCCTCCCAATAATATAAGACATTTCTAGCAGCTATTACCCACCCCCCACGTTCCGTCCATACTCAATAAGATCCAGAAACACACCAAAACAAGCAAAAGGCCACATATTATTTTTCACAAAAATGTACTAATTAATGAAAGTGAAAATGAATTTTAGGTTTTCAATAATCTAGGCAAATTTTGTAAATTGGAAAAGGGGAAATTTTGCAAAAATGTGAAATAATAATCTAAAAAAAAACAAGCAAATAAAAATAATTATATTACAAAATTGTTTGCTACCATCCCAACAAAAAGATAAACCATGCCCCTACTCCTTCACATTTTGTAAAATGTGCAGTTTGTTCTTTGAAAAATGTGTTTGCTTTATATTCATTTGTAAGATAATTATCCACCAAAAATAATGTTGCCTCTTATTCCTGTTTGTTTTATACATATCATTTTTTTTAAATCAAACATTAAAAATTCAGCTTAAAATTACTAATAGAGGGAATTGTTAAGACTATCCTAAGTTCCTTATGATATAATATGGCATTAAAAAAACATTTTACTTACAAAAATAAATAAATAAATGCAATAGAAAAAATTAAATTTAGGGCTTCACAATGAAACTACACAAAGTAGGGACATAAATTCAAATGCACTTTTTGTGTAACACACCTTTAAAAAAATTACTCATGTTTAGGAAGGCCTAATAAATGAATGTGTGACATGTTTTTTTTAGCCATCTTTAAATTATAAGACTAAACAAACAATTGGGAGTAAAAAGTATAAAATTGTATTTAATTATTTTCCTGTAAAATAAAACATAATTTCAGTTTTATTGTTGGACAATCGGTTTTAAACATTGAATTGGAAGAATGATTTTCTTTTAAATTAAAAGAATATAAATTTTAATTTAGCTCCACTTTTAAAATTAAATAAACCAGTTTTAACTATATGCCAAAACATTAAAATTTCATAATTAGCCAAATTAAAAGTATCCTTATACTAAAATTTTCAAAAAATAAATTAATTTGTAAATATAAAATTGATAATTAGTGCTGTGAGGTATTTATCAAAAAAAATATTCAACATTTGAAATATTGATGTAGTCATACAATAAATTGAATGGAAATGAAACATCAATGCTGTTAAATAATATAATAAAATTATTAAAGATCAAAACTTTTGACTTTAATCCATTAAATTTAAAACTCCTTTCAATAACTCCATTTTGAAAAAGTTAAAAAATGTACATTCACTCAAAAATTATATTAAATCTATTTTAATTCAAGTCAATTCTGTTTCCCTAATAATGATAAAAACTGATGAATGTCAACATTTCCTTTCTTCTTTGACTGTTCAAGAGCCACAGCTATGACATTTTCAGGGATCTCAAGTCTGTATGCCTCGTTATACAGCTTGGTCCATCCTTGTATGGAAGGTTTTATACAAAAATAAATTTTGGCTACATTTTTCTGCAAAGTGTACCTATGTAATTTTTGTATTAGCCCTATTCATCACACACTATGAAATTAAATGATGAATAGTTAGAAACAATGAGAAATAAATTTGAGACTCACTCGAGTCTAAATTAAATTGATATTTAATTAAATAAATTCCTTTCAATATTGTTAATTGTCAGCTTGTGGACACCAAAAGAAACATGCAATGTTTTTGGCAATACTACTTAAAAAAAAATGTAACTGACCTTCAAATTTTTTATCTTGTTTATAAAGGGCTTCAGCAAACTGCATACAATTTTGAACCATGGGACTTCTTGTTGTTTATGGGGTGACCTGGATGTCATTCCCTGTAATAAAAATTAAAATTTATTGCATGACTGATAGATTCCCATCAAGTAGTTGGAATATAAAGATATTGTTTGCTTAATGAAGTTCCAATATCAATTATGTACATTACTTTGGACTTGATCTCAATACATGAGGAGCAAGCAATTACTTTGGACTTGATCTCAATACATGAGGGCAAGCAATTACATTGGACTTGATCTCAATACATGGGGAGCAAGCAATTACTTTGGACTTGATCTCAATACATGAGGAGCAAGCAATTACTTTGGACTTGATCTCAATACATGAGGGCAAGCAATTACATTGGACTTGATCTCAATACATGAGGGCAAGCAATTACATTGGACTTGATCTCAATACATGAGGAGCAAGCAATTACTTTGGACTTGATCTCAATACATGAGGAGCAAGCAATTACTTTGGACTTGATCTCAATACATGAGGGCAAGCAATTACATTGGACTTGATCTCAATACATGAGGAGCAAGCAATTACTTTGGATTTGATCTCAATACATGAGGAGCAAGCAATTACTTTGGACTTGATCTCATTACATGAGGAGCAAACAATGCAACCAAATGTGCATTACATTAAATCACAATTTAAGTAGAAACATTCTGATGGGACTAATAAAAATGTCACCTTTTTCATTAACGCACTCACCCTTATTTAAATGAATGACAACTTGCCATTGTCAATGCCAGATTTACCAAAAGCAAATACAGAATATTTAGAATATTTAATAATACGAAGAACACCAACAAAATATGTCATGATATGTCTATGTCACGATATGTCTATGTCATGATATGTCTATGTCATGATATGTCTATGTCACGATATGTCTATGTCATGATATGTCAATGTCACGATATTTCTTTCTTCAGATAAAAGCACATGTAAACGTGTATGTGTAATAATAATATAACTGTAAAGATGTTAAGAGAAATACACAGCTCATTATTTATTTCTAGATCTTTTAACTCCACATATATATGCTTGAAATTATTTCTCTATTTGGATCAGGCACCTCTTCTTTATGCGGTGATAATGGAGGCTGAAAAAAATTTATGCATAAAATGATTTAATTTTCACCAAAATTTTAACATTATCACTGGTTTCTACAGGGATACCAAATTTTAAAAAAAATGGTAGCTAGTTGTTGTGATATCTGGCAATCAATAAAGTCCCTTTTTTAAAAGACGACTTGTTAAATCTTCTCTTACGTTTCTTTTCCACATAGACGAACTTGGTGCAGAGGATAGTGGAGATTTCCCAGTCATTTGTTTCTTTATGTTTATGGGAGACTTGGGTTGGACGGGTTGAATCCTCTCATGCAAGTGGATAAATGTAACCCAGCTGGAATTATAAAAATCAAGAAATTCCTCCTCCAAACTCCACTTAAATGTTTTAACAAAAATATGCATCTTAAAAGTGACAAAAGTATAATAGAGTATTCTTTGTCTTTATTTAAATAAGTATAAACACTAAATTGTTATTATTTAAAAATTTAATAGTGTCATAAACATTTTATTTCTAATTCCAGCTTGTAATAAGGCAGTGTGTTCCCAACGATTTAATCTTTTAAAGACTCCCCAATTCTGCCATATGCCATTAAGACTTAAGTGGAAGAAGAAAACAAAAAGAACAAAAAATAAATCACAAGCCTCATAAAACATCCACAGGACACGCCCCCTTTTGGAATAGTTATACTACAGGTCTTGTCTTAGTTTACATTACCCAATACTTTGTAGGTACCCCCAGCCAGCTCTCACTATTTGTTTGATCAATTTGTATCCCATTAGAGCAACTCCTTTGTTGCATCTGTTAAGACAAACATGTTGCAAAGTAGGGAGTAAAACTGAGGGGTATGGTGATGTTTGATGACATGTCAGGGCTTTTAAGTGATTCATTTAAAGAACATCACTGGCGTAGCTAGGGCCAGCGGCACCCTGGGTAACCAAAATTTATCCGTCCTTCTCCCATGACAAAAACTCTGCAGTTGGCTGAAAATGCAGTGCATCAATATAAATAATAAAAGTGCTGCTCTCTTCAACCCTGCCTTCCAACTCCACTGAAGAGAAAACTCACTTGTAGAGGTCCTTTCTATTAGTGTCTTCACATTTATGCAGTAATCTGGTGAGTAAAGATTCTTGAATGGGTATTCTTTCTTGAAAAATGATATTCTTGATCTGAAAATTAAAACAACCCACAGTCTGTGTTAAGGTCAAGGACTGGCAATGTATTATTACCCTAAAAATCGATTTAAATATGATTAAGAAATCAAATTCAAGTGTTTCATTTAAAAATAAAAGTGCAAATAAATATAAACGAAAACAAAAAGATATAAATGCGAGTAATAAAATAGGAATTCTTTTTCCAATAGTTCAACATGAGAAACTTAATAGAAAGCCACAGTAATAAATGCTATGGGTTATAAAGAAGGCCAAAAGTAATCAATGCTATGGGCCATACAGAAGGCCAAAGTAATCAATGCTATGGGCCACACAGAAGGCCAAAGTAATCAATGCTATGGGCCATAGAGAATGCCAAAGTAATCAATGCTATTTGCCATACAGAAGGCCAAAGTAATCAATGCTATGGGCCATACAGAAGGCCAAAGTAATCAATGCTATGAGCCATACAGAAGGCCAAAGTTTATGAGCTGCAGGTCGGCAGTAATGCCCGGGCACATGGTCCTTACGTTCCAACTTGCTAGTCGAAGAGCTGGGGTATTCTTTTTCTTTTGTTTTCTTATTTTCTAGGTGCATGTTTTTTGTGGCCTACTTGTTGAGATGTTCCTCTGAGCTCCACGCACCCAGTGAGACATAGCGATCTCTTCCACCGTCAGAAGCAACCCCTGGCGCCTAGCTCTACGCCAATTGAGTTATGGCTTAAAAACCGGTAACTGCTGCCCCTCGTGTTGTGTTCACACCTTTCAGCGATGCTGGAGTGTCCTCTCCAGTGAAGATAAAGCCTGGGCGATGTAGTATGGAGAATCAGCTGCTGCCCAGTCAGCAGATCCCACCTCTCCACGCCAGTGGTGGACACAAGGGATCAACTAGTGTCGATACGGCTTGGCACCATTGGCCAAAAGAAACCCAAGAGTTTTAGAAAATACGCTATTCGCGCTATGACGTCATTTGCTTGATTATTTAGAACAAATTAATTTAAAATTGTATTTCTTAATATTAACAGCGCACTAAAAGACGCACTAAAAACGACTGATGTTTGGATTTTCCCGATAAATGTGATTACGGTGTAATTCTTTGATCAGGATTGTTGTTTTTTTTCATACCTTTCAAGCGCATATAAAAGGCTTAAAATAGTTCCTTAGTCGATACTTTAAATGTATTTGTAATTTATAATAACAATATTTAATAACATATATATATATGTATGTAAATCAGATCCTTTTATTTGGAAGGATTGGAAACTATTTGAAACACTAGGGCCATTCCTGAGGCGCTACCCCTCATGTAGGTCTTTGGCCTGCCTCACCACATCCTACCAATCAAACCAATCAATACATGCCTGTGGCGCTACCACCCATGTAAGGCTTTGGCCTGCCTTACCACTTCCTTCCACTTTGACTATTCATCCATCACTGTGACACTACCGCCTTTGTAGGGCTTTAGCCCGCCTCACCACATCCTTCCACAAAGTCCATCCATCCCTCCCTGTGACTCTAACGCCCTTACCTGCGTCACCACTTCATTCCACTTAGAACTAATTGATGCTTTTCTTTTCCATGCTTAGATTCCAAGCTGTTGCAGACCTTTTCCCCATCATCCTCCACTTAAGCCAATGTCTGCTTTTGTGCCGCTTTCCTGTGGGATTTTGGTGATGCACTCTCCTCACTCCTCTTTCTTTCGGAATGCTTTCTAAGAGTCCCGCCCGGCACATTCTGTCCTTTTTATTTCTGCGTGAGACCCTGATGTAGAATATAAATTCCTGGTTGCCTCGTTCAATCCATTCATATTTATCTTTTGTTGGTCCACATATGTTCTGGAGAACTTTTCTCACACCTGTATTCATTAGGTTTGTCACAACCTACAAAACATGGCTCATTTGTCCCTGATAACTTGTTTAAAATCGGTTACTTCAAACAGATATCGCCGCATCTCAACTCATTTTTAGCACATTTCCACTTCACTATTCTTACCAGATAAAATGTGAAAACCAGGACCAAAACAATTAAATAAAATTCATTAAAAAAACAATTCATATACAGCTGGTGTTTCGAGCAATGGGGATGGGGGTGTAAATTAGCCAGAATGTGTTTACATCGTCAACGACTCTTTGTGCTAAGTTTCGTAGATTACTAAGACACGAACAAATTGTGTCACTATAACAATAAAAGTTAAGCTTTAATAATAATTATACATTATACACAAATAAACGTTTCGGCACATGCCTTCATCAGTACAAAAAAACAAAACACATTTAAATAAGTATAAATTAAATGTACATTATATCAATATACATATCCTACCTAAACCAGACAAAAATATAGGAGAGGGCGCTAAAACCAGACAAAAACAAAGTACAGAGGAGTAGAAAGGAAGTGATTTTAACATAATTGTATGTTTCTGCTCGATTACTTGACGGTAAGTGCATCAATAAACCGTTCAAAGATTTTACCACACAGATGGCCAGCCAGCCAGCCAGCCAGCCAGCCAGCCAGCCAGCCAGCCAGCCAGCCAGCCAGCCAGCCAGCCAGCCAGCCA